TACGTGTTGGTCAGTCCGAATTGACTAAGCATTTTGAGTTTAAAACCTGAGGATAAAAAAAATCTCACGATATCGAGTTCATGTCGTCGGCTAAATATTTCCACAGTCTATTTTTCACTTATACATTGACTTGAAAATCAACTTTATATATGTAGGGGCTTGCGTCCTCCCATTACTTTAACACACTTTGTCTTTCATTCCGACATTCCCGATGCTAAAAGTTCAATGCTAGGCCGGGTGCTAAAATCAGATCACGTTCTCCCACACTCAAAAGGTTGTACGTACAGGATGAACCTATCTATCCAACAAGCTCTGAATCTTGTTACGTGTATCTAATCTTCCGCCATAGATTACTGAATTACTTCTTATTTATGTTATACTGCTCTTTGACAGAGCGCCATCATACCGTACTCGCCCTTGCGCAACTGTCCCCTCTGGCTGATTAATTCTGTCGCCGTAAGACAGAATGGAGTATAGAAGATCATTTCTTTTGGCTGCGTTTGTCATCCGACGTGAGAGACTTTTGTCGTTCAAGTGATATTTGTCAACGTATGTCTTCCCGTGGTCGTGTCAAAGAGGACCGGAACCAGCCCTAGGTAAATTGCCAATAATGTAATAATATTAATTGACTACGTGGAACCCAGGTGTATGGCAGAGGACCGCGCTATCGAAAGGGAGGACCGCGCCATTGAAAGAGAATGTCTTGCAATCGTTTTTAGAGTCAGCAAAGTCAAATTTTATCTTATTGATAAAGAATTCATCCTCGAAGTTCACCACCGTCCACTGTCTACTTCAATAAATTCAATGGCGACTATAGCCGCCTTTTGCGGTGGGCCCTGAGTCTCTACCCTACAAGTTCAGAACGGTTTACATCGCTGGAGAAAAACATTGGTGGCGATCTATATACTCGGCCGTTTGGTCGAATAGCAGCTGTCTCTAGCATAGCGCTGAGGATCAGCCTTGTCACGCGTTATCTTAACGCGTCTGTCACGCCTTGTCGTTATCTTAACCTTAACCTTCTTATATTCGTTTCAAGTTTGAAGTATCATATCAATACAGTAGTTAGATATGTTGTAAGGTCATATTACTTGTTAAGATATTCTTTTTAGTTTGGTCTCTGAAGCCGTCGCTGGCAATCCTGAGCCCCTGTACCCTCTAATGTAAGATAAAATCTTCTTGTATATAAGATTTTCTAGCGATATATTTTCCTTCTAATCTGATGAAATAACGCAAACATATTTACCATCCGACGTTCCTATCGTTTCCCACACCTCGACTGACCCTATTTGTGTGGGTGATGCATGCGCTCGCCCCCACTCTACGACCACACCGCTGCTTCCATGTCGTAGTTAAGTTGCTCGATTTGTGTTGTAAATGCGAGTTTGTCTGTTGAGCCTGCATCGTCTAATGAGGCGTTCGTGAGCCACAAATGCTGACGGGCGGAGCAATTGCGCGTGATTCATAATTGCTTTATTTCATTATCTCTGCGGGGGCGTGACTTGCTTCTGTACCGCTGCGCTGTATTGAACGGCATCGCGGTGCTGTATTACTGTTGCTGTTTATCGAGCAGCTGTTGTTCCTGTTTGTTGCTTCGCTGTCCTCATTAACAGATGAGTTGATTTCTATTTGATACCAAGTATGAAGCTACTGCTAATTTTCAGTTTTAGTTACTGGAACTGAATCAAGAGTTTATGGCTTCTGTTCCTGGACAAGATTCATCGTAGCAGTTTTCAGAATTGGTGCATGCAAACTCGCTGCACAATGTACACTGAGAGCATCTGCACTCCTTTGTCACTCAGATCCCACCTCTACCGAGCAGCATTTTTTGCTCCTTGCTGGAGATGAGCAGCAGTTTTGCTCATTGCTGGAGCCTGCAGATGTACTAGTTTGTTACTAGTACGACGCATCTGTAGTGTATACCTACTCTACTCCCAGTCAGCAGATGTAGTTTGCTGGTACGACTGTAGAGCAGTCGTACCAGCCAGCAAGTGCAGTCGACAAGCACACATCAGCTGGAGGCTTGACACGCAAGCACAACACGCTTGCCCACTCGGGAAATTCCGCGCCCGCTGCGCACGAACGTCTCGTGCACATCGACTCGCCTGTCTCGCCTGCCGTGCACTTGCCTCGCCTGCTGTACAATTGCCTTGCTTGCCATACACTTGCCTCGCCTGCTGTACAATTGCCTCGCCTGCCATACACTTGCCTCGCCTGCCATACACTTGCCTCGCCTGCCATACACTTGCCTCGCCTGCCGTACACTTACCTCGCCTGCCATACACTTGCCTCGCCTGCCGTACACTTGCCTCGCCTGCCATACACTTGCCTCGCCAGCCATACACTTGCCTCGCCTGCCATACACTTGCCTTGCCTGCCATACACTTGCCTGTAATACCAGGTCCCGACACTGATAGAATTACGATTTACTAAATTCACCATCTAAAGTTTCGTCTTTCTTTGCTGAACCCGAGGGCGAAACCTTAGTTTTGAGTATTTTTGAATTGGGAATTCTACGAGCGCAGCTTCTGAATAATTTTTCTGTATCCAGCATCTTGACCAGCTCTATTTTTGTTCAGTTTTATTTTACGGATAAAGTTGGAACTTCGATTTTTGGAAGAGCCACAATCTGTGAGCGAAGGAAACGATCAAATTAGATATATATAAGCCTCTTGATATTGAAAATCTGTAGTAACTGTTCTGATGGAGTTTAGTATCCCTATTGGAGATGCTTGGCTCGGTGTGGATGAGCATCGGCCACTCACTGGGCTTGGCTAATTCAGTTCTGATTTGATTTCCTTTGCTTAGTATTGAATTACTCATAAGTGAGTGCGCGGTAGAGTTGTAGAGTTGTGCGTTCTGGTTAGGACCAAGTCAATATCATGTGTAGGTATATATCCATTAAACTTTTGAGAATCATGTTGAAAATTTTGCTCTTCAAGCCTGAATTATCAGGTGTTGCATTCTAATGTCTTCTGTGTTTGGAGAATTGGTTTTTCATCATCTACACTAAAAAAAAATTTTTGAGATTGAGTGAGATTTTGACCGGATAACGATACACTTTTTGTCCTCGTATGGGTAATTTTGACTCAGTTTGGCCTTACGAACTTGCGTATTAGAGTTACGACGAGTAAATGCGCCGATATTTGTACAATAAGACCAATTATTGTGTATATTGTTGGAGAGACTGTAGGGCTCATTGGAAGTGAATACAATCTTATTTTCTTGCACAATCCTCCGTTCTTGTGAACAATATTTATTTATTCAACCCAACCCATCCAGAGTTGAAATTTAATGCCATGCGTAATTTTATCTAACTTTTTGCTTGTCAATATTTTCTTTGCTCGCGTCATCGTAACCTGTAGGCCGAGATAATCTCCGCGAGGTATGAATAGCAATAATAATGATTATTATTATTATTCCCTGCCATTAGGGAATAATTTTGTATACTCCAGCTATCCATCTCACAACTACCGGATTTTCTGAGCTTTGACATGCATGGTTTCGGATTTATTTTCACGGCTCCAAATTTTCGTGTTGTATCATGTACGTGTATCGTGTACTTATTTCCACCAAAATATCTGTATTCAATGATTCCTATAACTTGAAAATAAATGATGTCGCTTTCAAAATATCGGTAATAATATTACTTGCTTGAACCTGCATTTCAATCAACCAACGTGTTCTGGAGAATATTGTTTGATCCTGAAAATTTAAATAAATGATTTCTCTGGTCATTAACCACCAGTGTTTGTATTATTGTTGAATAATATTAATTATTATCCCTGTCATTAGGGTTATATCATGCGACCACAGTGCTGACAGCTGAGGTGTGTCGCTCGCCTCGGCATCGTGTAGGCGTGCCCGTGTTGGTATAGCGGGCTGGCTGCCCCCAGACTTGCTGCTCGCTAGGCTAGCGGCCGGCCTCTTCACTTTATGTAGAATATTTTGATATCTTCATCCGTTAGATACTCGTGTCTTCTAGTGTTGCTGGGGCACTACTTCTTTATCATTGTATCTCTAACGGCCATGGATAGGGTTCGATTATGATAGAGCAACGAGCATTCACACTGTATTAAGTAAAAATAAATCTGTACATTTGCGTTGTGCACTTGTAGTCCTTCCCAGCTAATCAGCTACACCGTGAATGAATAAAATCATGAAAGTATAGAAAACCTAAATTGCGTAATCGTAGTCTAAATGAAAATGGAAAAATTGTTACTATAAAACATGAATACATTTATACTATTCCCTAACTGTGTGAAAACTTTTAGGTCGAATGAAACACCTGATCAAAAGAAAGATTTGTTTAGATAATTGTTAGATTTTAAGATGAGTCTACATTATTTCGAACTAAAATATGGTTATGCTTAAATAACGCTATAGTCAAATCTTTGTTGGATGAACGAAGTGTGTTGAGCAGAAATGGTGAATATTCATGAAAGACTTGATACATTGTCAGAAGTAATAAATTTTATAAATGTAAAATTAATGTTTAAATAAAATTTATTTGGAAAATGTATCAAGGATTACATAGGACCCTAATTAAGTGCAACAATTATTTTGTGTAGGATTCTTTACTGGTTATTCGCTGAAATTCGGTGGCTCTATGATCCGAATTTAGTAGATAACAAATGGAACTTCATACTAAGTGGAACATACAGTGGGGGGAAATAAATATTCGTACACTTGAAAAATCGTATTTTAATGTATGTAAGTACACAAACTTACCAGGAAAAGTGATTTAAATTATGTATAGAGACGCATAGTATTCAAAAATACCATCAAAAGAAATTAAATCTCAATGCAACAAAAAACAATGCAACTGATTTTTCAAGTGTACGAATATTTATTTCCCCCCACTGTATATCTGGAATTGGTCCAATCATCTATTATTTACCTGTCAACTCATCATGGTCATTTAACAGCACATCACTGCCATCAAAGATTTATTGAGTGTAAATTCAGTAAAAACCATTCTCTGATAAGGAATTTGTTTGCAGGATCTGGAGGACATCGAGCGCGACATGCGCGAGGAGAAGCAAGAGCTCAGCGCCAAAGTGTCGCAGCTTCTCGACGAGAACAGGAAGCTCTCGACGAGCCTGGCGCGCTCGACCGACACCACACCGTGCATCACGGATGACGAGAGTGAGTCGCGTCTTGAGTTTTATACGTGTGCATTGAACCGGGCCTCACTATCAAAAATATTTACGAGTTTGTAACTCTGTTAGCCTCTTTCGTCTGCAATCTCCGAGGTTAGCTTATCGCTGTCGGGTTCTGAAAGCTAAACCTACTAGTTACAGACAAAAAATTGGTCTCTATATACGCGTACATTAGCGAGTTTTCAAAGTACGGTCCTCAATGTTTGCTGTCAAGTACCTATCGCTATCGGTTTCTGTAAGATATCCCTACTAATTACAGAAAAAAAGGTCTCTTCGCGTACTTAGCGAGTTTTCAAAGTACGGTCCTCAATGTTTGTTGTTAGGTACTCATTGTCTTGACATCTAGCGGTGATACGACTATCAATATATCCTATATTTTAGTTTTGTGTTGACATTTTATTACCTATAGTCCATCAGCGAGTTAGTGGGATATGACATATGACTCCGCCTGAAATAGGGGACGTCTGTCCTGTGATTAGCTAGACAAAAGTCGTACTGAATTTTGGGTTAGAAGGAAGGTTTTTCCTGATCGGCTCAATACTTCGAAGCTCGTAGTGTCAACCTGTGGGTCTCAGTTGTGGGGTTAAGTTTTGGATAGACAGGATTGCTTGCAGCCCTTCTCTCTCTTTTCGGCTTGCGACATGGGAAAACTCTTGGTACGAAACTCTTCGTTTCTGTTTCTATTCACCTGTCGCGTCTCCTCTGATCCTAGTTTCTGTGAGATTCAAACGTTGCTTGTGTCTCGTCATTTCCATGGTACTTACCATTTATTATTTTCGACCGCATGTTCATGAGTGCCTTCTGTCAAGTTAAAATTCTGTGATTAAGTATATATATAATATAACTCAACAGTAGTCCGAAACGAAGTACTTGTGACTAATAATTTTTACGCTTCATAGAGCGAGAATTTTCTATCCGAAGCGCTATTTACCTTTTAAGTCTCAATACAACTAAGTTATGGGATTATTATATTATTATTACTATGCAAAGGCTCGCTGGAGCCAGAAGTGAGCCGCAACATGGTGACTCGACTGCAGGATGCCTTGGAATCTCAGCGGGATCAGCTGCACCAGCTTCAGCAGCAATACCAGCTTCAGATGGCTGAGAACGATCAGGTCAGTCTAGGAGCCAACTGCTGTAGGCATGCAACAAGTAGCGTAGCTCAAGTTACAAGCCAACTGTGTGTACAGGACGAAGATCAGATCGGCAACAACACAGCTTCGGGTTACTCCATCATTGTTAATTCCTCAATCATCACTTTGTGATAGGAAACCCTATTTACATTCGTAAGCTAGTGTTGTATTTAGCATAAAATAGCGATGTCGGCGCTGAAGAGTAGGCCTGATGTTGCTTGTCGCCGATTATTTTACTTTTCGTGACTTGTTTACAGATGATTTTTACACCGTCTAATTTAAGTTAAATCGGCAACTTTAACGGCAGTATGGATTGTGGACAAAGATGACCATATCCTAGTTATATTCAATCCATGTAACTAGAAGCTTGTTGAGTTTTCGAAAGGTTTTTACTGAAAAATTTTGTTGTCGTGCAGCTGAGCGGACAAGTGGAGCGCCTGACGCAGTCTGGTAAGGACCTGCGACGACGCGCTCGCCAGAGCACACAGCAGATACGGTGCGTTATGGTGCCTGCACGCTGGTTCATAATATCATAAATACATTGATAATAAACTAAATACCGGTAATAAATACATTAACAATAATGTAAATAATAAACACATTAAGAATATAATAAGTAATAAATACATTAATAATAAAGCAAATAATAAATACATTATTAATAGACTAATAAATACAGTACGTAATAAGTGCAATAATAGTAACTAAATATCAGGTGCTAATGAAGATGGTAAATCAGGTAGAGTAGTAACAAAGTTTGAGGTGCTGCGGAAGAAATTTTTGTCAAAATTTTGTCAATTTCGTAAAGATTGACGTGGTTTATGTTATGGGAAATAACAATTGAGTTGTTGAGTGAGATTATTTACATTAAAAGATGTTTAACTATGAGGAAGTACTAGATGGGATGTTAGATGTTGGTATTAGGTTTTAAAAGTTCTAGCTAGGGTGCATTTGGTTTGATTAATTGTGACGGGGAATGTTAGAATACCTATTAATTCCGAAATTATTTGGTTAAATTTTGATTTACTTAGTTTTCCTAAACATTGGTCGGGGAAATATTGACGTTTTAGTAGTTCGCATAAACATTTGCCTGTAAAGTAAATAAATATCTTAAATTTTTTTTTTAAAACCACGCTTTTTTGGTTTTTACAAAACTAAAAATAATGAAATAAAACAAATAAAAAAAACTGTTAAAAAACACATTTTCTTAACGGACAAAAAAGAAAAACATTTACTCTTACATAACATTTAAGTTATATAAAATGTTATGTAATGCTATGTGTGAGTAAATGTTTTTCTTTTTTGGTCCGTTAAGAAAACGTGATTTTTTAACAGTTTTTTTGTTTGTTTTATGTCATTATTTTTAGTTTTGTAAAAACCAAAAAAACGTGGTTTTTAAAAAATATTTTATATATATATATTTATTTTCTACTTTTTAGTTAGCAATTTTAGCAATTGAAATCAATTTCCAGGGTTGGCAAGTGTAGATGTTCGAGAAAAAACTTAATTCCAAACCGTTAATTTTTATTTATTTATTTTTTTTTTACAGACGCGGCAGCTTCTGATTCGGATTACCAGAAGCTGGGGCGACTCTAAATTTTGTTACCCAGTGAAAATTTACAGACGCGGCAGCTTCTGATTCGTATTACCAGAAGCTGGGGCGACTCTAAATTTAGTTTGTCGTGTACAGGCAGCTGGTGGAGGAGCGCGCCGAGCTGCACGTGACGCTACAGGAGCAGCAGCGCACGCTCGACCAGCTCCAGCAGCGGCTCGGACTCGCCGCTAAAGAGAACTACGATCTCGCTACAGCCTCTGTTAGTCCAATTCTAGGGTCTCATATGTAAAGTCTAGGTAATGTCTGTTACAAACTCATATCTCTTATCATCATTAAATATCTGGCTACTTTCCTTTTGCCCACCTCCCTAGATTCTGCTGTCTTCGTGGTCACAATTGCTGATTGTAATGATTATATCACCATCGCCTAGTAGGCTAGTCTTCGTATTGAGTTCTACATCGGCGCAACTTCCCTCTGTTGTTCCGCCTTTACTTATCTAACAATTACACCCATTAATTGTAAAACTGAGTCAATATATTTAAATGTAAAAGTGAGTGAATAGAATATTCTAATTTCTTCTCTTTATTGGTCTTGATGTTTTATCCTGATTTGTATTTAAATTGCATATTAGAATTGCATACACCTGCTTGGATGTACGAGTAAAAACCGCTTCTTCTATAATAATGAAACATATACGTTTCAGATCGACACGAGCGACATGTCTGGCAAGCTCGTGTATGACCGCAATGACCCGAACAGACCTCGGTTTACACTCACTGAACTAAAGGACATCTTGTACCAGCGCAACGAACTCAAAGCTCGGCTGTCAGATCTCGAGGACGAGCTCAACATGTACCGACCATCGAACGCGTCTGCTGCTGCTACCAAGCAACAGTACGTCCATAAACTTAAACTTCATACCCCTTCACCCGTTGCCTACTCTTCTTGTTCTGCGTACCTCTGTAATTCAGCCATTGGTAGAAGCTGTGCTTGTTTTACCCGATCAACGTACCAGTACCACCAGAAAACCGCGTACCCTAGACTTCCTAGTACCCCTGCTCTCTTGGTTAGTTGTTCTGTAAACCACGCGCACAAGCCAGGTTATTGTGAACTGTTGTGTAATGCTCAACGTCGCGTTGGCTGTACGTATTCCTCTCTCAGGTCACATCACTGCCCTGCTATACTTTCTTCTTCTCATTCTGGGCATGAAGTTTGCACGGGTAAAAATATTGCACCATCGCACGCTTCCTCGTGTGCCTCCAGTAAAATGAATTCCTGTATTGTGAATCGTAATGCGAGTTTGTTTCCCTGTAATGCATGTTTGCACGATGATCATAACAATTTAAATTGCATGGATAAGAATCTGCAAGGTGGTGAGACTGTTGATATTCGACCAGAAGGCAATTGTTACGATGATACAGCGAGACGTGGCTGCGATGTAAAGTTGAGCGGCGATTCTGAATTCAAACCTCAAGATGTAATGCTTAGTAAAGACGTTGCCAGCTATCCTGGCCTCCTTGCCAAATGCTTGCCTTGTACCAAGTTTGTGATAGTCACCAGACGTGCCAAGTTGAACAAGTCAAATAAAATTTCTGGTTTTGAATCAAATTCAAATGAAATAAAGCCTCTTAACAATTCAAAAGAAAATAATAGACTTAAAGATGAGGCTCGTAAATCGGATGAAGTAACGAATATTGTTGTTGATAGCCATTTCTTTCAGGAAGCGGATTTAAAATTAGCGTCTGGAGGCCGGATCAAAAGTAGCTGTATTGGCCTTAAACTGTCCAATAGTGGGCATAAAAGTAGTTTAGTTGATGATTTACAAAACTTTAAAGGCCTTAAAACTGAAATGGTCAACAGTCAAAGGAAGAGTAACAGCTCAAATAGTTGTGTAGTTGGTAGCAATCTTGATAGTAAGGATTCAAACAATGATGCTGTGACCAGATCGAGTTTAACCACTGGTGTAGTTAGTGATGAAAAATATCGTAATATTGTTATAAACTCTGATTGTATGATTGCGAACGACGTCTCAGATGTCGTAAGGAGAAACAAAGACCCAACACAGAGCGCTGGCAGTCGTAGGTCCAGCCTAGCAAGCGAACAACCTAATGTTATCTTCGCAAGAAGCTCTTCAATTCGAGAAGTCATTAGCCGTGACTGCAAAGTTCCTTTACTAACACATCTGTCGGCCTCTGCTCCCCTTGAACGAAGTCTTGCTTCCTCAGTAGCTGATTTTGTTGAGAAAGTGCAAGAGATGGACTGTGGTGAAACTGGGAAAGTTTTTTGTGACTACAAACATAGTGGAACTCGTCTTGACCAAAATTCTGTGAATGTCGTAGGAGGTATGGCGACTAAAACAAAACATCCAACTTCTCGAACTCAAGCAAATAATAATTATTTCCCCGGTGATGTTCCTTTACTTTCTACTTCTCCATGCCTGCTGGGAGACCTCTTAACGCCCTCATGTCATGACAGTGCAGAAGGATCGCTGCCTTTGGAAGCAACCGACATTCAGCCTCACCCTACAACTCGTGCTACGAATGGACATGAATTTTCGCCCGTCTCTTCTTTGGATCCGTCTTTTATTGTCACGCCTTCCACCGTATCAAAAAGTAATTCTCTGAAAGTCAATGACTTATCAAATTTTCCCGGGTTTACAAATGTTACTGGAGACGTTACGTTGCCTGATGTTGAGACCTTGGATTCCACAATGAATATCTCCGACTCTGTTTGTTCGGTCACGACCGAGTCCACCACTACGGCATCTGCAGGCCCTGTCGTTCTAGTCTCAGTTTGCAGTTCTACGAAGAATTCTGCCTCTAGCGAGCTGCGTAGCCCAAAGTTGAAGACGAACTCGCACGTGGCATCTTCTGTAACTTCTAGGTCCTCATTGAGCCCCTGTACAGAGAAATCAAGCAGGATAAGCAGTGCCCTGCAAGTGCCAACAAAATGTCCCGAGAACTGCGAAGTATTTTACAGCCTCTCCAGAAGCAGTAGCGCCGGCAGCTGCTCGGTGTGGCAAAGGGGGAATACTCCTCCAGCGGCTGCTACACTCGGCAGGAGCTGGGAAGATTACGAATGTGAAGCTATCCCCAATGCCGGCTCTTGTGGGGCGTGTGGGGCGGGACACGAGCATCATTCTCAAGAGAACGTCAAGTTTGTCGAGAATTCCACGCCATGGTACAAGTTAAGCGCTATAGATGACGGTATCGGTACCGAGACTTGTTCGTGTTGTGTTTGCGGTCGCAGTGGCGTCGTGGTGCCAATTGAGGATGTGGACTGGAGCTTCCGAAAAAATTGTATTGACCAGAAATCGTTGAGTGTTGGTGGTAGTTACAATTCTCAGTGCAATTTTGTTAAATATGAAGATGAAAACTTACCGGACGAACCAATCATCAATCCTGTTCAAATAAGTCAAGACAACCTCGTTGCCATAGATTCGGAAGGTGGAGTTGCAAAACCTATTGATTTTGTTGAGCATGATGAAGTTGTGTCTATTGATTTAATAGAAGATAAAAACTCATTGTTGAAGTCAAATGCTCGAGACGATCATTGTGACTCTTCAGTCTCGCCAGGTCTCGAAACAAATTGTTCAGAGTCGCTGGTGAACGCTCACCTCAAAACTACCAAAGAAGATTCTTTCATCACTCGTGTCAGTACTCGCGACAAAGAGAAATTCGAGGCCCAAGACTTCGAGCTGGACCACATTGACCGCCTCACCGGCATCTTCTATCAGGACAGCCTTGTGGAGACCATCACAGAGGACGACATAGACCGATACTTGAGCGGCCTCAGCGTCGAGGAGGTAGAGAGAGCTTGCTCGACTCCTCTCATACCCTCGCTTGACCAACAAGATCTTGTCAGCATGGACTGCTGTAGCAAATATTCCACACCCGAACAAAGCGGTGAAACTTTAGATATTGGAGCCCAAAAACCTGTGCATTTATCGTGTGCCTACTCGTCTTGCCAAAACATGTCGCGTGTTGGGATAAGAACAACTTGCGATGCTGATGCAAGCGAGGTTTGTTCAGGCAGTTCTTGTCTACAGGATCGTAAGGCTGACATTAAACCATTTGTCGACCCCTCTTCTAGTCTACTTTGCATGGACTGCATAGATCCTCAGCACGTGAGCGAATATTTGTTTAAGTTGGGCCACAGTTTGCACGACTTTAGCTGCTACTTGCATGAAGTTAGTGAATACGTTGCGCACGCTTCTTGCTCTAACTTGAATAGTCATAGTAATAGCAACAGCAACTGCACGTCTCTGGACTCTGCTATCGAGCTTCGTGACACATCCAGCAGCTCTCTGTCCGGCAAGACTTCAACGGACGTTTCTTCTTTAGACGCATGTGACCTCGAAGTTATCTGGCCAGAACTATGTTCTTTAGGTGCAAGACTTTTCGGTTCTCTCCTGGGTGGAACAGAACCGTCCACTCCAATGGGATTTATGTGCGAGGTCAGCGTCATTTTGGTGCTCCTTAGGATCCTGTATTGCTGTATTGGTGGTGTAGTTTCATTACTGCTTCTCGGCGTCGTAGAGTGAGTACAAATTTTCTGCGAAACCAATTGAGGACTCGGAAAATGTCGTATAAGTCATGAACAACTTCCATGAATTGTGTCTAAGTCGTCGAATTACACCGTACTTCAATTTACAAACGTGCATCCTCTGTTGTGATGGCCGTTTGTTGTGTCCTGAATTTTATTATAATTCTATCCATTTTTATTGTACGTAATCTACTGCATAGTTTCCAAAAGCTGCTCTATGTTGCCGTTCGAAACTATATTTTAATAGGTACTTTATTTACATTGAGCCTTATTTTTAAATTTTCAAACAAATTATCAACAATTACCGGTATGCCGAGTTCTGGATTAATTTTAATCGATCATGGCGTTACGTAACTAAAAAAAACAGTACAATACAACGTAGATTTCCGGCTGCCTTAACTCAGGAAAGGTTGCATGCATTTATATGCAGGGAGTAAGCGAATGATGAAATAACTACAGATTTACCAACCTCACACAGTCGTGTTGAGGCTCTCGCTATGCGTGCCCCACTAGAGCTCATACATTTTGGAATACATAATCTTTGTTGATGTTGTTTATGAACACATTATTGACTACGCTGCCTTAACCTCACATTATTGTGTGGAAAATTAAAAAAAACTATACCGTACTGACTGAAATATCCACGACGGGCACGTTTTTTGATGTCAGTAGATTAAATTCCGTCCATGATAGCGCATTGTGTAGATACTTGAATTGTATATTTGAATAGTTAGTCTACTGTACAGTATACACCATTGTGCCATCAATACATTCCACGTAAGCTATCGTAGGACATGTTACGTAGAAGTAACGTATGATCTACACTGCTTACAACTTCGTGACAATCTATAGTGTTTGCTCTGGGTGCTATATATGTAGCTTTACAATTTATCTAAGTGGTTCAATATTACCAACGTATTAAGTTAATTAGAGTTACATTATACATTATATATTGCAATAATAGCCGTCGAGATCAATAATAAATTGTTATACATTTGTTATCGTCGTAAACTAAGTGCGATAATTGCAGGAATACTTTCGTATCATTAGGAAAAAAACGTGCACTACGTCAGCCGTGAATTAGGTATTCAATTGAATGCTTGAATTGAAAGTAGTTGAATTGAAACTACTGAATTTTTAGACTAAGCTAAAAAGCGGTGTGGAATCGGCCTTTCTGTCTCTCTACAAGCTGTTAAATAACTCGGTGATTTGGTGCCACGTTCTCTCCTCATAAGATTTGCCCAGGCAATTGTTGATGCCAAATATTGAATAGTTTATATGATAACCCCCAAGCTGTAGCTGAAATAGTTGAGGATTTTGAATAAGCTATCAATAAGTTCTGTGTGACCGCAAGGAACAGGGCAACTCTTTATTTTAAGTTGACTTTTGTTGCTACTTCAACTTTGTTGCCCTCATTGCTGTGTTGGCTGTTAAGGTAGTTTTAAGTTTTAATGGAAGTTTGCGGAAGTTTTAATGCTAGAGTGTTTACAATTCTGTACCAACTCCATGATTTAATAAACTGGAAGTTTAAAAATGAATTGAGTAGCTATTGCTGACGCGAATTTTAATTGTTCTTGACTAACTACCCGAGGACGCATGGAGGACAATATATTATTTAAAATATTTGTCTAATTTTTCATACAAAATGCTATAACTCTTAGTGACGCGTGAAAGCCTGCAACATTTCACCATAATTTAACACATGGAGAACTTGAACCGTTGTTTACGGCTTGCTTGTAATTCAGTGACCACGCATTTGCAGGATTCATATCAAGTTCATCACATTCAGGTGCTACTCGTTTACGTCTAGGTATGCTACTCAGCGCTCATTAGTGCATACGTTTTATTTCACACCAACCGAACCCTCGCTGTAATGAAATTCCGTATTGGCGTATATGTTTAACGAAACAAGATTACATTTCTTGCATGTAGCATGTGTAATGGCCCTTTTCCACTATGGGACTGATTCAGAATGATAGTAGAAGGGGCCTTCTCATTGTGGAAAAGGGCCGTAAGTTAGACGTCATCATCTGCTTGCAGTAGCGTAGACACGGGAACAGAGGAGTGCAGATACAAGTATAAATAACTCTAGCATGTCGTTATATAAACGCTTCAGTTGACCGTTTTTTGATCGCTGATACTCTCTTCACATTTGCAGCTCATAAATCTGTTATATAGTTATTAGAATTCCTGGTCTCATGCATGCATTCAAGGTGAGCGGTGTCGGACAAGAAACAGTTTCATAACATTTTCTCTATTTTAAATGCTCACAACATAACGAAATATTCTCTAGTACCGAGTGCAAATACTAACTGATCGGCTCTGAGTTTCTCTTGCCTGGGGATTATCCTACATGGTTGTGTACCGACATTTGCTGGACTTTTTTTCACCCATTACGGTGTATTATGACGAACAAACTAGAGTATGTGGACCCAAGGAATCCTGGAATTTACTTTCTTGAGTCTTCAATTTATTGCCAGAAATCACGTAAAAGTGATTACTTATGCCTTGTATCGAACCAGTGTTATGCAATATCGCTTGCAGAAACCCATTTCGTCCATACATTGATTTATATCGGGTATATACCGCAGAGGTCGATGAGATTGCATTTGACGAGATCCAAGCAGATGCTCTTGGAATACTGATAACTAAATTACTAAGTAACTTTATTCTGAATGACTTGGAAAACGTAAGGTTTTAGTCTTTCTGGACGCGAACCTTATTTAGTGCTGGGATGTTATTTATTTAGCTGATAAGTTGCCGGCTCATGTGAGAGACATAATACTAGGCTGACATTCCACTAGGTGCCATATAGCAAATTTAATTAATTTTATATTGTCATCTATCAAATTACGGTCCGTTTTTTGGAGCAAAAACTTGCGTTGAAAATATTTTTTTCTGCAGTGTTAGTGAGATTTGTGAGGCATTATCCTGCTCAGCGGCAGCTATTATAAAGATGAATTTCAGTTCAAATTTGATTTGCTATCGGATCAATTAACTAACTTAAAGTATTTTTAATATTTATTTTTCATGCTATTTAGTTATATTCTGTTCTAATCTTTTTTTTTGCAATTTTAGCTGCCAGTTGGGGGTTTGGAACCGCAACTGGCTGTGAAAATAATAGTCGAAATCGGCAAGGTAGTTGGGTGGTTGAGAATTGGCTAGAGGGCAACATTGTCTCATCAAAACTGCCATCACTTTCATTTCATAAAATTTCGAAGTGATAACGACTGCATCTTGATATTCAAAGTTTGTTCTAAGGCCGGAATCCAATAGCATTTAGTCGCAGCTACACTTGCTTATACTTTGCAAATTACTCTTAGCGAAGATGTGTTGGGATTACTAAACCTGCACAAACTCGTGTCATATTGATTTATCCTGATGTGTACGATATTATTAAGTGATTTTACTGTGTACGCTACCACTTGGCAACTGTAGATTATGCCTTATTTTGTGACTTCTCCATCGAAATTGCATGTTTTAGAAGCACGAGGTTTTTACCCGTGCTCAGTATTATTGGTGTGTTTTTTACCCTATGTCCCCAGTATTTTCTGTCATCAGTAGTAATTTTGATTTAATTGTTTGATTTAATATCCAATTAATTTGTGCTTGCAGATTCAGTAAATATTCAGCCCGTATAAGTTTTGTTTGATTTTGCTTTGAGTTTGCATGATGTTAATAAATTCTAAACTAGAGATCCTCAGCCTGTGTGCGCCCGTTTGCTTGGGGTAAAGAATTTTCCTCTCCTTATTTGCACTTACATGCAAATATCTTAGTTATCCATTCATTTCTGTTGGTTATTTTATTGATCGTTTATCTAAATGATATGATGGGGGTCTATGAAATTCATTTACGTTTGAATTTAATAAATAATAATCTTGTGGGTGAGAGGAAAGTTACTTGAAGTTGCCTCGGAATGACCAGCTATGTCTACCATAATGCTTAAACAAGACGAGTTGATGGAAGGTGAAGATAAAAAAAACATCTATAATTCTTTTACGACCTACATTAAATTGTAAATTGTGTGGATTGCCGACTTTACTTCAATCTGCCGTTAATAATTTCCACGAAATCCTCAAAGTTTTTTTTCTAATGTCGTACATCTAGGTTAATCGTGCTTGTCGTGAAGATCATCTGCTCTAAAGACTAAAAAATGCGCGTTTAATATGCTGTATTCTTGAAGCCAAGTTCGTTGAAAAGTTTAATTTGTCACATGCGAGGCCGTGACTTTGGCGTCATTTGGGGATTGTATTATAGGACTGAACTAAACAGAAAGTCTGAAGGTAATGCTCACCATTTCATCTGTTGTATATGATTTTAAAATATATTTCAGTATACCAGCCTGAATCTTAAACTTGCCAGTATCCAGTCAATAATAGCTTTACGATGTACCGTAACTCACCGCTGCTTCGTACTAAATGCGGTAATGCGCAAGATGCCCGATGATTTATCGCACACTAGACTGCAAGTACGTATGTACTGTAGCGCACATATTAGTACACGAGACATGCGGTGGAGGTACCTAGCACTTATTCCCGCGTGTGTCAGGGGAGGAAGCCACATAATCTGCCCTCCGGACGAAGCTCAGGGACCGCCCCTGGTGGACCTCGACAAGCTCTTCCTGCAAGAGCAGCTCGCCGGCACCAGCAGGCAGTGAGTCATCGGCCTCTGTTGTCTTGTCCTCTTAAGAGCCTGGCACCTTAACTGCTAGGTTCTTTTAAATAGTGGGGCCTTAACTTATGTTTTCCTGTTCAAGAGTTGGGACCTTTTAACTGTTATGTTGTTCTGTTTGAGCAGTATGACTTTGACTGTTCTGTTTAATTAGTGGGTCCTTAACTGTTCTGTGTTCTGTTTAAGCTCTGGCTACTGTTCTGTGTTCTGTTTAAGCTCCGGCTCCTTAACTGTTCTGTGATCTGTTTAGGCAGGACTGTTCGTCCGTACGGCCCATTTGATGGAACGGCTTGTGATCGTCCTACATGTTTTTATTAATCTTCTGGATTCGTTGACATTTTACTAATTTCCTACTTCATTACCAGGCTAAATGTACATAGATATTTTCACTAACTTTCGTTTTAAGGACTTGCATGAATTTCTTGGTTAATTACTGTTAATGGATGTGTGTTCTATTTTGGGCAACCTAATTTAATCTTCAGTTCTTTACGTATTTTTTTCAATTCATGGGTTTACTCTCCGCTCAAATCTTTCCCTTACAATGTCCATTTAGTTATTTCTTCCGCATAATAACCTTTTTAATTTCGTCTAAATTTACCCGTTTACATTCCGTGTCCTCGGAGATGTGGAGTATTGGGAGACCGACATATGATTCTCTGAACAATTTTTCACGATATATTTCCGTGAACATTTTTCTATCAACAACCGGCTGATCTCTATCATCTTCTGACCGCCCACTCGTCAATTTTTGCTGGACAATCACTATATCGTGAAGCCTTCATTCACGATCATCAACAAACTCAGCTGCTCTTTGAAGAAGCGATTTCTCATATTCTTGTCGCGTGATCGTGGTGTGTATGTTTAATCGGAAATTATTATCAGTATTTATGCGAACCAACCATGCCGAACTGCTAAATGGAGTGTACCCAGGACTAGACACATTTCCTTACCGACAAAACGTCAAGCTTTGTCGGAGGATCTTGGATGTAAGATAGCGGCATACTTTATTGTAACAACTTTAAAACGTTGAATTCATGTTTATTTCTATGTCCGCCCGCATATGGGTTCGAGTATTTGTCTACTAGATTTGTGTGCTTCATTATAATTGGGCACTGTCGGCCGGCCTAAAGGTTTCCTTGTTCGCCACCTTGAAATGTGCCTCGACCCTTCATTCATTGCTTTTTGATTTCCAAAAATATTTCCTGATAGTATCATGCATATTTCTATCAGAATTCGACAGAACTTTAATTAAAAGTTAAGTCGATGGTAACATTGGATAATCTAATGCATCAAAAAGATATAATGGGATGGATGAAGTTTACAAATTGTATAACTCGGGATAACATTATAACTTTAACATGCATCGCATTGCACTGAAAATCCAAGTGATCGAAAAAACATCTTGGCTTTTATAAGTAGATAATTATTCTAGTGCGATCTTTTCTGTCATTAAAATAGAATGTTCATACCGATTATACTCGAATTTATCTTTGAGTAAAATTGAATGGCGCTGCTGTGAATTGAGGGTAGATGACGGTACATATTTGTTGTGGGTCTAAAAACAGTATACAATTGAGTTAATTAACATCTGAAATAGAACTATATTTCAGATTGATCGTTGGATTAATTTCAACTCCCATGTTGTGTTTCATAAATGACCAAAGTGATGTTTGTTGTACAAAGTATCTATTATTAAGTAAAAAAGGAAATGTACGAGATAAATTACCTTCATTTTCTCTGTGTTATATGAAACTGGTAAATGAAAATTACGAACTACAACGTCCAGAGCGTTCAAGTTTGTGTGGACATCACAGGTTTTGATCGAGAACGTGGCTCAGCGAGGTTGAAAAGTATTTTTAAATACAAGAATATATGCAATTAGTTAAGTGTTTCATATAAAGTTGATGTTAAATGTGTATACTTCGTGTTTGTCACTCATGCATGCTATGTATAACTGTTTGTTGAAACACTTCGGCTTGTTGAACTCACTGAATCTTTCAACTTCCTTCTCCTATTAACAGCCGCACTCAGTTCTACTAAAACGGGGCTTATGTGTTTTTCTTGTAGCACTTAGCAAAACTCTGAACATTAGGTGTCATGCATGCACTCTATTCTGCCGCGTGTTTGTTAATACTCTTACATCTCTACTGCTTAAACAGACGCGCAATATTTGTCACACTTGTTACGTCATGCTTTGTTGCATGTTACGTCATGCTTTCACTGTTACTTCCTTGTCCCGTTGGCTGGGTTGTTTGTCTTATCAGTTTTATCGTTTTTGAGTCAGCGGTGAGTGTAACTCAACCTGCACCTTGAGCGGCTGAAGAGCACACCAATACAAGATTTTCGTTTCCATCTGCTGGAATTGAAGCAAATTCTGTTCTGTTGCCTGTAGAATGAATTACAAATTTATTAGGCTTAAATAGTCTTGAGTAGACAAACTCGTCTGTTTTTGTGGGTAAGTAAAAATAACTGAAGTTCCCAACAGAAATGTTATAAATCATCGAATGAAGTCAAAATGAATGTATTTTTTTGTGTTTAATCAATTCTTGTACCCGGCAGGAACGAGGAGCCGCCCCCTGTCTCTGACGACCTCGAGGACCCCCCCGTGCAGGGCCCCATGCCCTACGAGCCTGACGACGCTCCTTGGAAGCGCCGCCAGAAAGAGTCCGGCATCCGGAAATTGTGAGTTACTTGTTTTAAGACTCGCCCGCCACGGAAACTCTGCCAGATTCTCGCCTCAAACATTGTGCGAGATTCTCGCTTCATGAATTGCGCGCGTGAAAGTTTGGTGCCATGCCAGGACTCTGCGCCAGGATATACGAGTGCGTGGGAAATTTTTGAAATACTCCGACTTTATGAGTCGCACCCTGCGAAAATTGTGACTCTTGCTTCACGACTGATGTGTGGTGGAAATTATTTGTTAGTCTCGCTGCATGTCTCGCGTGCTGGTTATTGACCGACTATCACTATCGAAAGAATTGACTATCGACCGAATTGACTATCAGCATCGACCGAATGCACGTAAAATTGCGAGTTACTTGCTTCAGAACTCGTGCTCTTCGGAATGTCTTGTGACTCTGGCTTCACGACTTGACGCCAGCGCCACGACTGTGGGACTGAAGTTCGTGATAGAGCGACGTGCGTCGGAGCATTTCATGATGTCGGGAGAACATTTGCGCTCGTAGGATCACTTTCCAATGATTCGTGAACATCGAAAAAAAGTGCAGACGGCCGATTAATTTAGTAAGATAAGAACACACTGTTGACGATATTTGGCCAACATTTTCGAAGATCACACATTTGATCATAGTTTTTTAACAGTACCGATCAGTTCATAGGTGCCTGCCTATTTTTAAAGGTCCAGCGTAATACCTACAGGTGGCGTTTGCAGCAACTACAACGGCGGTATCCAAAGCGGTATTCAACGGTATTCTCAACAATCCAGCAATTTTAGGTTGTTATTTCCCTGACTGGAGACGCAGTCCAGAATATAATATTCCTTGCTCTGGCAGTCAAAATTCAGATGATATATTTTATCCAAACAGTTAAGGCGGTAGCAGTAAGGAATTACCGCAAGAATCTCTGTTTCCAATGCTGAAATTAGCGGTGCGTACCACAGTAATTTGTCGTCTTTCTGAAATAACAATATGTAAATTTGCAATTTAAGGTTATCGGTGAATTTCTCCGCGCGAATTTATTATTATATATAATAATGGATGTAAAATCATCTGAATAATGATGATAACTAATGTAGTATGCTTATGTAATTGTAAGCAAAGTAATCGGCCGCTGAGTGCCTAACGAGTGACAACGCGTTCGATGCTACAGTCTTTCTGCAGATGATGGCTAGCCAACTATCGTGACCTGGCAGCATTGTTTATTTATTTTGTAATATTTCTTTCCTTATTTTCTTTGGTGATAGAACCGAAACTAGATGCTTCTTTACATCGCCCGCACGTTTCGTCCAGTTGTGTGGGCTGTTTCTTACATTTTATTACATTTTTTATTATTATTTAGAATTCAGTTTTATTTAAATTTGTTGATTAGATAATATTATCAAATTATGTTTTTTCTGTTTTATTTTAAATTTTCTTTTGTTTTCATTCCTGATAATTGATATTTCGCTCGCCAGCTTCGCCCGCATGAAGCAGCTCAGCACCGCCGTGATGCCGACAGACGCCGTCGTCATGGGCACTTCTCCAGCCCTCCACACTTTCCACCGCTCCTCTCTGCCGCTCCAACACCACTCCACTCCAGCCTCCACTTACTCCTCACCTCAATCCTCTATGTCTGGGTGCTCCCCTGCCTCCTTGTGGTCCCTGCCCTCCCAGTTGAGGGAGGCAGATGGAGTCGCATTGGCGCAAAAACTCCACCTGGATGCCAGCGACCCTAATTCGAATATCTCACCGCGCACGGACGACAGCGGTTTTGGTAGTTCACTTGGATTGCCTTTTAGAATTGCATCTAAAAAATCCTCGAGGAAGCTACCCTCTGCTGGGTCTTCGGCCTTTGATAAATTCCGCTCGCGGTTTCTGCTCTCATCAAATCCAGACTCTAATTCGTCCAGGAATCATGATTCATCGATTTCTGGACAGCGCGATTCATCATCTTCTGGAGACGTCGTTTCGTCTACCAAGGCGAGGTCGGATAGTATCGAATCAGCAGAATCATCTACCATGAGTCCATCAGCGTTTGGAAACTTGGTCTTCAAGGACTCGGAGGATTCGCATTCCCTCGCTGCAGAGGGATCCTATTCTCCGAGGAAGGAGTGTCGCGAGTCGGCAAAAATCAGAACCTTGGTTGGCTACGACAGGATCACCGAGGGCGAGGCGGCTGAGACATAATTGCCCTGAAATGAATTATTAAGTGGGACAAATTTTCTATTTTAGATCCTAGAACATTGACAGCTGAAAATACCTCGATTTGTATTGATTTATTTCACAGTCGTTGCATGGTGTACTCGTAAGCGGCTAATGCATGTGTCCCGTGAACGTTGAATATTCTTTGAGCCTCGTACTCTCCACGAGCTCCTACAACACGCGTAAAGAAGCTATGGAACTTAAGATCTTTATATTAATCTAATAAAAGACTTATCTTCTAGTTAGTATTTGTTAGAGTGGTAACCGCTTCGTGATTTTCTTGATAAAGTAAGTGACTTGCTATTTGTTATCATGGTTGAGAAAGCGTGTGTATCTTCACTAAGTAAGCTTAAAATCAGTACTGACTCTATAAACCAGCGACTATATTGAATATATTTTATTTGACGGCCAAAATAAGCGTCAAATTTCGTGCCATCGCTCCTGCTTCGCTTTCTTCATTCTCGATCACCTTGTAGTTCCGTCTAAAAAAATACTTCCCTTGCAAACTGTACTTATTAATTCAAACGGCAACTTATATAGCAATAGGGAAATGTATTTGCTGTATATTTGTCCCATGGAAACGCATCGGAAATTGTTGTTAATACCTTTCGCGTTTTTCCGATCTCTATAATTCTTTTCTCCTAGAAGATGAATGCGTTTTCCATTTATCTCCATGGTTTGCATTAGCTAACAACGTATCACTAATGCGAAAAGAATTTTGCACTTAGAATCACTTATTCCAGTTTTCTACCAGTGTATGAGGAGACAATATATATGAATTCCACGCCCGGTCACAGTCAATACGAGTAGCGCTGTCGACTTATTAGAAGGAAATTATCGTTTGCACTACATTTTGTGAGCGTTGCTTGAAGACTTGCTTTTGTTATAGGCTATAATACGATGCCTCTGGCCTGAACTTGCGTGCTTACTTTTACTTAAATTTTTGACAAAGCAGGCAGTGTAGGTGTTAAAATTTTTGATAATCTAGATTTTTTTGTATGTGAACATTATTTTACAATTATTACAGCGCAGGCAAGTGTAGACTGCGCCCCTGGATTTAGTTTCGCTTGAGCTAAGAAATAATTTTTTTAATTTACAAAATTTTTAACTGACAATTTTATCCGAAGTATTGGTGAATTACCATTCATTTGTTGGTGTCACGTATAATTATCACAAACGAAGACCAAAAGTTGAGGGGTTGGAATTAAAGAAATTCAAGCTGTTTTTCAAACTATTCTTCCACACAATCTCTGTTAATAGAGCTACGAATTTCTTCACGCATGGCTTTTCAAAGTCCATTATTAACAATTTTTGAATTGTACTGAAGGAATGAAGTGTTATCAAGTGAACCTTCTGCTGCCGATTTATTTTGCATTGATTATTTTTGCCGCTGCCATCGTAATTTGATCGCCTAATGCCGCACTATCGAAAGTTGCCTAACTCTCGTAGCGGCCGACTTATCGTCTGTATTTGGTGGATTTAGCCTGAAAAGCCGTCAATGATAGGCTGACAGAGTTGGAAACTCTTAACTATTTCTTGTACTACCGTATCTGTCACGCTATTCAACCGTAACGATCCGCTAACTAGAGTGTAACTCTTCAATTAATTGGTTTCGTCGAATGAACTATTTACTCAGATGACTAATCGATTTTTTACCACGCACCAACAATTAGAGTGTAGGTACTCTGTATTGCGATTGTTCAATTAATAAATTCATTATTTCTGAAGCTGAAGACGATTTATCGAGCCAGGTTACTGCATGATTAATTGACTGAATTCTCTATTTAATTTATCTTATTCCTAGACGTAGTTTTTGTTAGGAATTTTTTGCGTGTAAATTAGATATTTTTGCAATATTCGATTGTACCCGAAATAATATATGGAGTACTGTTGATGTAATTAATCGTGTATATCCCAATTATATACCATACATGTACTTGTTACTACCTTGTTATTTACTATTATTTAGAATTCAAGTTTCTTAATCAATCTCATTTATGAAATTCGATGATAACAGGGTTGAGGCAATGAATTACACAAGCGTCTCATAAATAACGAATATGACAAGTAATAGCAGCTAGTCTTTCATACATGGATACCAGTTAGGAGTCGCGTACATGATGCCTGAATAATACAGGTTGTGAAATTGCTTTGTTGCGGCAATTTCGACGAAAATTCATCCTACAGTGAAATGATCGAATTCAATTTCACACGCTGCTCTGAGATTTTTCAAATTGTAATTTTCGCTACAGCTAGGATATTAAACGAAAATATACAAAGCTCTGAGATTATTAGATGTCTATAGATTGTTGAATGGCTCAATTGAATTTTTTTTGTGCTTTGGCTGAAAATCTGAGACAAATTAACGCTAATAATTCAAGGCCATCTTAAAGCTTCTCGTGCGTCACTCATGAGTGCTATTCCTCTAAGTTTTATTGATTGATTATAATGTCACACATTCTGTGGGCAAGATGTTTGTACTTAATGCAATATTTATCTATATATACTGTGTTTAAAATGATTGTATATCTACTTAATAAAATATATTCGTCGCATTTATTTTATTATTAGTAGACCAAGATCCTGTTTCAAGCTGGCACCGGCGCGAGCAAGAGCCTTGGAGTTTCTGCGTTTAAAAGATCAGCGTTTGCGGCTGTCTTTGATATGTTTTATTTCTTGGTGGCTGACTAAAGGGAAATGAATACTGCAGTGACTGAAGGTGTTCGTTTGTGATTTTATTTGGTTTGCCTGAGGTTTAAATTCACTTGGAATGCGGTGCCAATATTCGTGCATTGCGACTGTCTCGAGCTTTCCTTCTGTCGAGCTAAAAGTGAATAAATAATGTAAAAAATTCCCGACAGCTTGTTAACGTTTTTATTTTTATTTATTAATCAATTACATGATCTTAATAACGCTAAAGAGAATCGGACTCGAGGAGAAGTCACCTACTTTAAATCCGTACGGATTTACAATTCCGATAGTAATAAGATTTACAACAGAACCTCACTTAGTCCACTGCGGCGACAAAGGCTTATGATGTCTTGTTCGATGATGACATTGACATGGTAACCGAGGCTTTCACGCGTCCCGCTATGGTAACGAGTTACCGAGGAATATGGTCTCTGCTTCTACAAAAACCGATTGCATAACTGATCTGTCTTCGGATCACGGCGCTGACCTACAAGTACGTTACGTTACTATATGTATTTCACGAACGTCAAGCTAATACTTACTTTACGTTACCACTTGCGTCACGTTATCACGTATGTTATTTGTGTGTTCATCACTAACTTCAACGCTAGTCCACCTGATAACTGTCGCATCCGCAGCACCTTCTGACAGGACTGGCACTACACTGGCTAAAATTTATAGGAAATAAAATTTGAGTGCGATTTTTTGTAATCTAACATTTAGTTCAGCTTGAGTCGACCTAAATTTTAATTACTAATCACTGATTTTAAATCTAACATTTAGTTCAGCTTGAGTCGACCTGAACTTTAATAATCACTAATCACCGATTTCCACTGAGTTTTTTCAGGGTCTCACCTGCATGTCTCTCGCCGCTAAAATTATGCAGTAGAATGCTTCCGCGTAGAAGATTTCTATACTGAATATTTCATATGCTGGATGCTAAAAATAATCTTGAGTATGCCAGCATAAATTTTGTAGAAGTACGAACTAATTTTTATGCAATATATGTTTACTCCTGGATTGTAAGCCATGTTTTAATGTTAAATTAATACCGTTCATCAATTTAACAACCGTCAAGGAACTGCACTATAATGAGTGATCATAAATATAATTACACACTAAGTACCGTTTAAATTTAACGTCTAGCAGTAAATATAACAAATTTAAACCCGGATTTTCCACGAACATCATGTATGCATTTGACTGTGGCATTCATTTTTTACACGCGTGTTATTCATGATTTTGACTGTGATGTAAATTTTTCCACGCGTGTCTAGTGTGGATTGATTGTTGCGTCGGTTTCTTATTATTGCGTCTTGTGCGGATTCGACTGTGGCGTAAATATCTGCACGTGTGTCATGTATCAATTAAAGTTAATAGACTGTTGCACGAGAAGTTGACTGCTGCGCGAAAAGTTGACTGTTGCGCATGAAGTTGACTGTTGCGCGAAAAGTTTACTGTTGCGTGAGAAGTTGACTGTTGCGCGAGAAGTTGACTGTTGCGCAGGAAGTTAACTGCTTCGCGAAAAGTTGACTGTTGCTCGCAGGAATTTGACTGTTGCGCAGGAATTTGGCTGTTGCGCAGGAATTTGACTGTTGCGCTGGAATTTGGCTGTTGCGCAGGAATTTGACTGTTGTGCAGGAATTTGACTGTTATGCAGGAATTTGATTGTTGTACAGAAATTTGACTGTTGCACCTTATGTAGACTGTTGCGCAGGAATTTACTCTTGCGCACGAATTTGACTGTGGCGCAGGAATTTGACTGTTGCGCAGGAACTTGATTGTTGCGTAGCAATTGACTGTTGCGCCGGAACTTGACTGTGGCACAGGAATTTTACTGTTTGTTACGCAGGGATTTGACTGCTGCGCAGGAATTTGACTGTTACACACGAATTTGACAGAGATATCCGTGTTGCCGCGTGCGTCATGCGAAGATTTGACTGTGAAGTAGATGTTTCTACGTGCGTCATATTTATTTTTAACTTGTACGTGTGTCCACAAAGATCATGTATTGATGTTTACCTCAGGTTGTTCGTTTTTAAACAATCATTTCAGTGTTTCCATTTGCATTTTTAATTCATACGACCGTTCAGTCAGTGTTTTCACGTGCAGCATGTAGGTATAATAGATTCTACTGGTCTTTTTATATATGGATTATTATTAATAAAAGATAATTTCAGGAATGCGTTGTTAGATGACAGTAGTTACTTACAAATGGTCATTATAAGAATTGAGTGTTGTGTGAGCTTGTTACTTTTAACATTTTATACAACGCAATTCATCATTCATTTTTCGATTATAAATGATTACAAATGTGCATTGATATTGTTACTTTTCAATTCATCAAATTCAGGCTGCAATGATCTTTGTACTGAGGTTTAATAAATATCTCCCAATTAACACAATTAATTTAATTAAACGAAAAGTGAACACTTGAATTACGAACATTTGAATAAATTAAGCAGAACATATGTTTAGAGCACAGTTTCAGGGCACAGAACTGTTTCTTCTTTCATATACTAAGGCACAGCACATAGTTCCACACAAGACAGGATTAGAGTTAGACATGCACGAACACAGAATCTTCAAGATACTCCAGCTTCTTGTGATCTTCTATCCTGGTTGACTTCTCCCTACATGAACAAAATCAAATTTCCCCTAGATTCCCCTAATTTCCCTACTAGATATCTCACATAGTATCAACAAACATAATAAATACAATATTTATAAATATCGACAGTAGAATGTCTCCACAACTCTAGAATATCACACATACCTCTGCAGTTGTCTGAATTCACAAACCAGTCCTTGCTTTTGTCCCACAACAAGTCTGCCCTGAATTCGTATGCTGTCTGCTACAGGATCGTCAAAACCTCTTATTCTACGTTCCACGCGTTGGTTACTAATGTTTTTCTCAGTTTCCCGAAGTACTCCTGAATATTCAGAATATTCAGCTAAGATCCCAACACAGGCCATTTTGTTAATACTTCTTCTATAAAAATTCACTTAACATAAACTAGAATAGAATGGTGTAAACTGCAAATTATAATACAAAGAAATAATTGTATAGATATTTATTGTATGAATTTAATTCTGTTTTTCTGCGGCAGCTTCAGGAAGCTGTTCGGGGAGGGCGCCCTGCTGCCCTCCGGCGCCTCCAAGACCGTCCTCAGCTTCGTGACTCCTGGCCTCCCGGGCCTCTAGAGGGCCTCTACTGGGCCTCTAGGGGGTTTTGCTTACGTTAAATGGGCCTCCCGGGCCTCTAGTGGGCCTCCCGATCCTTTCAAGGGCCACTAGAGCGCCTGTCCGAGCTTCTAGAAGGCTTCCGAGCCTCTGGAGGGCCGCTCGAGCCTCTAATGGGCCTTGCTGGCCTTAAATGGGCCTCCCGGGCCTCTAGGGGGTCTCCCAGGCCTCTAGTCGGTTAATAATGAGCCTCGCTGCAGTGGCGGAGC